TGAAGCTTCTAGTGCAACTGCTCCATGAACTCTGTAGCTAAGTTGTCCAAATAAGGCAACGTTGCAGAATTTACTCTCTTCAGCTGGTGCCTACCACTTCAATAGGTGCACATCTCCTGGGCACGGGACCAAATACCTCCCTCCTGCTGTGTTTGTCTGCTCCTGGCCCGCTCTTCCTCACTGACAGATAGCTTCTTTTGTTCTTTGTGTTTTTGTGAAAAATAGTAAATCTTTGCCAACCGTGGTTCTGCCCACAGCCTGGTGAGGCAGTGTGTTGCCAGGTTGTGCAATAGTTGGAATGGGAAGTTTCAGCATTTTTAGTGAAAAGGTCTTGGGGTGGGTTTTTTGTTTTGTTTTTTTTTTTTAGTTGTTTTTTTTAAGTAGTGGACTAGAGCTTGTTCACTGAAATCTTAGGCCTATGCTGACCTGATGTAGACTAACAGGTGGCTGTGTCGTGCCTCTTGTCCTTCACTTCAGGTTTTACGCATTGCATATAGTCCCATAGTGAGATCCACTTTCGTCATTCCTAACAATTTAAACATTACCTGAAACACTATTTGAATTACATACCGCTGCCATTTGACTTCTAACAATTAGCTGTTGCATCACATAGAAATTAAATGTAATAGATACATTTTAAAACCCTCAGAACATCCTTAAAAAATTAAAATACTTTTAAAAAATTGTGGTTATTATGGTTGAATTAAGTTTGAGTTCAGTCACGCTGATGCAAATAAAGCATATGACTGCAGTATAGATACCGAGTGTCTATTTTGGAGAAATTATTGTATTTTTCTATGTGAGGCACACTGCTATGCGATAACTGCCTTCAGTACAAAAATGTACCTGTGAGATTTCTGTCATTATGTGATACTTGGGTGATTCTAAATTGTTTGTCTTGAAGGCGTTCCTAACGTTCATGGTGAAATGTTTACTGGGATTCATATGTTTAAAATGTAAACACTGTTTCATCAGTAAAGCCCGTCTGTCTTGTTGCTGCACAGACATTCACCTGCAGGGTCTTTACCGTGCACCAGCTGGTATAAGGAACTGCTCCCCAGTAGGCTTGGATTCCTATGCTTTTGTATATATGGGTGATAGTAAACCATGCCGGAAATTCCGTGGCGTTTTTAATTTTTTGAAAATTAACTCCATAAGACATTTTTTAAAGGAGGTGCAAACATCAGCTTTGTGTTTGAAAGTCATTCCTTCAAGTTCCTGTAAAGTGACCTTTCTCTTGTTGCTCTTCCTTGGAGCTTTTACCAAGCTGTCCAATGCCATGACTTCCTAAAAATAATTTAGCAAGCCCAACCAAGTGCAGTGGATCCAGAGAGGTCACAGAAGTGGATAAAGGCAGAAGGCAGCATTCCTAGGTTTGACGGATGACTCTTTCTCAGCTCATTTTTCATGCTCTTGGCCTCCTTATTGGGAGTACAGAGAGAGGAACGGCGTACGTGGAGCCACAGGTGTTATGCCCCGGCAGAGGCTCCTGGGCATGAGCTCGTAGTGGAGGGCGAGGTGAGATGTCTAGGAAAGGACTTGAGCTGTTGGGAAAGATGCAAAAGTTGCCTTTGAGCAACAGTATGTGCATCTTAGTAGGATTGTGTTTAAACTGTGGGAACCAGATGTGTTACACTGCTTCTGATTGAAGTGAGTAATAATGCGTTAGTCTTGATTTAAGTCAAAAAATAAAATCTAAACTATACATTAAAGATCAATTTATTAAAAGTGTGGACACATTACTAATTATAATAATAGTTGAGTTTAAGATTATCATTCAGGTGACTCGCTTCATATATGTGCCACGTTTTTAAAAATTAAAATAAATTTAAAAAAAAAAAAGTTCTTACACTTGTATTCAGTCTGTATGTTTTATGCAGGAACATATGTATTGTTTTAGCTTCATTTGTGGGAAATCAATGGGAATATTTAACATGGGAACTGAACAGAAATATAAAAAATCTTATGTATACATCAGATATCAGATTAAATAGAGAATTTACTGACAACAGCAAAGCTGTATAGACTGTGTTGTATGTTTACACCACGTGGGGGAAAACCTACTATCCACTGTTGAAATACAACTAAACAAATAAAATATGTTAATTGTTAAATATGCTGTTTAACTAATGTATTGTTGTTACTATGTTTAAGCAGTAATCTAAGGGTATTCATGGCTCTGTTTTTATAAATGGCCTCTGCAGCTTGCTTGCATTTCAGAGCTTTTTTTTCATCAAAAATGTTTGTAGGTTGAAGTAAAAGTAAATGATTTTATCTTTCACTAAAATTCAAAGCCAAATAACAGTCCCTGCAAACACAGCACATTTTGGTATTACAGTATTTGGAGAAAAAAAAGTGCTTTGTGTGTTACAGCAATACTCTGCACGTTTATTGAATAAGATCTGTTAAGAATAAATGCATAAAGCAATTTGATATGTATTCTTTTGAACAACTTGAGTGTGTTTAACCTTTGTTTTTCATTTAAATCGTTCATATAAATCACCCAAGATGAAAATGGATTGAACACTAGGTGTATGTGTACTTTCTGCTTATTCATGCAAATATGCTACTTGGTGTTATCTGGTCTGCTAAAAAAATAAATGTATACAATGTGTATTTGTTCAAAAGTCGTCTTTTCGTTCTTTGCATTGTTAAATCTACGAGTTATGAGGACCACAGTGTGCTACACACCTTGAGCGCTGTCAGGTAGTGATCTTGTGTTTAACATAATCTTTGTTTTTGTTTCTTATCCAGCTGACTTAGATAACCACTTAAACCAAAGAAGTTTCCTTCATGGCAGAAGATTACTCATCACTTGAGGGCTTAAATGTGCTCCCCTCACCAATCTTGTAAACATGCTGACCTTTCCTTCGCAGACTTTAGTATTGTATACATTAATAAACATTTTATAACACTGAAATTGTTTTGTTTGTTTTCTTTTAATCTATGTTAAGGTTAAACAAGATAATGGTGTAGATCTTACATAGAGGTAGGTCAAGATTATCTATTGTGCTTTTCCTTGTTTTTCTGTCAAACTTGTGTGAATGCACGTATAAAATACGACTATAGTTGTAAATAATGAGGTATGCAGTGTGTACAAGTAATCCTTGATCTGTATGAGGTCATTAAAAGCAAGTATTCCTAAATGTTTATATATATCTCAGGCTTAAAGTTGCTTTTCAAACCACCTGGAGATGGCCATTCAGAAGCAAGCTACCCTTTTTAGCGAGAGAATGTATTAAGGGCCTCCATATGACCTAGTATAAGATGAATATGCATTATTGTGAATCCTGCAAAGCTAGTAGAGTCCTAGTAGTAAGTGTCCTTTAATTCAATACCTTTGACCTAAAATTGCGTAGAAAACATGTAGGCTAGTTAAGCTTGTTGCTGACAGGGCTGTATGGTTGTTTAGTTTTGTCATAGCGCTGGAATCTAGTACACTTTAGAGCAGGTAGAGCTGTGTATCACCCATATCTGAAAGGAGTGGAGAGGTTACTCAACCCTTATTTACACAGTGTGGATTCATGAAACTGAGATTAGATCAGATTATTCATTCTCAAACAACAAAATCCTGGTTGGTTGTGGCTTAATGTTGCAGCAGCACCGTAGACCAACCTTAACCCCGATCCCTAGCACTAGCTATTGACTTTATATATTAACCATTGACTTTATATACACTAGCACTGAGTAGCAAGGTCAGTAATCAGATACTGTAGAAATACAAATTTCCATTAATTGGGATTGCACAGTAACATAAGATCACATTATTCCTTTAACACAGTTTAATCCAATTAAGACGGAGACTAACCAAAATGTTCTGTAGAAGCGATTCGCAATAAAAGCCCTTTTGATTTCAATTTTGATTTCCACCAATAAAGTGAGGGAATCTTCCTGTTAATAAGAGGATATCGATACCGGCATTCCCTTTGCCAACGATAAACTTTGGAAGCAAATTTCCACAGCAGTCGTAACCTTACTTTTCAAATTCAAATTTTTTATTACTGTCTGATACAACGTTTATAAAATCCACAAGAAAAACCTTATTTAAGATCACTGTATTTTAAGCAGCTCTTTTGCGTACATCGTTAAAACGTCTAATGAGCTTTATTTCTCCGACGTTTGTGAGCGAGCGAGCGAGCGAGCGGGGTGTTTTGATGGTGTTTGTCTCCCTCCTATGTCCGAAATCAAGCAAACACCCTGCGCTTCTTCCACCGCCCCATCCTTCTTCTCGTTCACTGCACAGTAGTAAGTAGCACGGTAGGAAACGCAGCTGTTTGTTTGCAAAATTCAACCAAATATATATGTGACGTAAACGCTCGGCAGTGCTTATGTTTATAGTGAAAAAGATATGTGGAACCTGATTGTATAGTCACGGTGGCCGAGAGGTTAAGGCGTTGGACTCGAAATCCAATGGGGTTTCCCCGCACAGGTTCGAATCCTGTTCGTGACGTTAAATTTTTGATTGCCACAAATTTCCTCTAATAAAACACGCTCACACTCAATCGTTCAGAAGCTCGTCAAACTAGACCCAATTTATTGATTTAATACAATGTGTGTCTCTGAAGGGTTACCCACGATACCTAGTGCTAAATGACGGATTGTACACTCTGAGTGAAATATGTGTTTAAACTGGGACACCTTGAAGACAAAAACAACATAAGCCAAGATTAGTAAAACGGATGCGACATTATTAAAAATAAATAAATAAGCAAACCACCGTTAGTTTTACGGTTGATAGTAAACTCACATTTCCTCTTGTCTCGCGTTGTTTGAATGGAATTCATTTGCTATGGTAAAAACCAACTGCTTTCATTTGCAACTCTAACAGCTAGGTTTTGTGCCTGTTTATGTTTTTGGATGCACTATCTTACAAGAATACAACTATACAATTGTTCTCTATATATTGATTTGTCTATATAAAATCACATTAAAATATACTTTTACGAATATACCCCTTCGCCGTGTAGAACAATGGAATCGTCCGGTGGAGATAAAAATGACCGGCAGTACAGCTGACGTAGTTTTTGGGGCATTGTTCAAGAAGGTTAAACCGTGTAGTTTGCAGTGTGTACAGTTTTTTAAAAATAGCGTTTTGGGGGCCGTAGTATTTAGGGATTAATACCTCGGACATATAACAATAAGTGTTTTTCGAACAACAGCAACGTTACTGGGGATACAGATAGTTAAAAATAGACACACTAGTCGTATAACAAAGCATTTGGCCAGACTGCGCGCTAACAAGGCTAACAGTTCTTTATACTTACAAAAGGCACACAAAGGAAATGCGGTCGATTAGTTTAAAAGCATTAAAAAGAAGTGTCTAAATGATCGAGTGAATCTACTAAAAAGGCTAGAAGTACAGGCAGCACATTAAGCTGTGATGTAGCTTGCAGTCAGTGGAGTGGTATTTGTTAAAACAGGAACCTCAGATTGAACCAGCGATTCTGGATTTGTCAGCCTATTGGTATCTGATTTCGAAACATCGTTTTGAGTACTTGACAGCTACTTTGCAACGGATTCTACGTTAGCTAATTTTATGAGAAGAATGAAGCTGACATTATGGCGATAATCGCGAAAAACGAGATATCCAGACACACGTATTCTGAAACTAAAATAAGGTAGCTAACTGGGAGCTAGCAAACATTTAGCGAATTGTTCCTTAGCGGAGCTATCTTGTCACCCTGCTAGTGTCAGTTAGCTGTGAAGAGTATAGTTGTCCTTCACCACTGTCACAAGCGTTTGTGTTAAGTTTAACGTGGGTTATCTAACACGCTGGTTCCCTGTGTTTTATGTTATAAACAGTTAAGATACGTGTTAGAAGTAGTAAGGCTGGCAGGCTAACTAGTTAGCTAAGCTGAAGCTAACGGTTTTAGCTCCCCATTACATAGTAACGACAGTTATAGCTGCTGAGTTTGAGTGACAGGAAGAGAGACATCAGTGGGGTTTTTTTCCACCCTCGACACAAATAATGGCAGCACCAACAAACGAGGCCTTGTTTTTGATAAAGGATGTGAAGCCTGGTTCGAAAAATTTGAATATCGTGTTCATCGTTTTGGAAATAGGTGAGTAGTTGGGTTGTGAGGCTAAAGCGGTCTCTCCCTACATCAACTCGTGCTCCTTTTTCTTAAAGGGACCGGCAGCAGCTTTGCTGTGAAAGCCATGAGAGATACAGCCTAAATACAGTGAGGCTTTGATTTAATACTGTTCTATGTGAAAGTTGAGTTGGCCTCTGGTAGAGCTATTTGTATCTTGAGTCTTTGTTTTTTTTGTTAGGTCGAGTAACCAAAACGAAAGATGGCCATGAGGTGCGCTCATGCAAGGTGGCAGACAAGAGCGGTAGCATAGCTATCTCCGTTTGGGATGAACTCGGCAGCCTTATTCAGCCAGGGGACATCATCAAGCTAACCAGAGGGTAAGACTGCGGATGTAGAAATCTTCAATGTTGCCAGAGAGATCCGTGTTTGCATATTTTGTGTGTCTGCACCAGTTTAACCTGGTATTTCTCTGCTAGCTATGCATCTATATGGAAAGGCTGCCTGACCTTATACACTGGAAGAGGAGGAGATCTACAGAAGATTGGAGAGTAAGTAGACAGTCACACACATCTATTTATGTAATGCTCCAGTCCCTCTTGGAATTCTGCTTAGCGTATCACTCTGTTCCAGAGTCATGCTTTGTTAAATGTAATGGTGACAGGACAGTTTTAAAACACAGTCAAGCATTTTAATACATTTCCCAAAATATGATTGGAGCATTTTTGAAGTTTATTTCTAAAGCGAATAAAATTTCATTTTATAAGTTTGCACACTGACCTCTACTACAGTGCAGTACATTAGTTTGTGGGTGTTACAGTCTGGCTTTCCCTTGGCTGACAAAGTGTGAATAGTGGGGCTATTCTTCAGAAGGATGAGTGCAATACAGCTGATGGCTGAAACTATCATACAAGATGATTAAATGTTCTCTAATATCTTTCCAGATTCTGTATGGTGTATTCAGAAGTGCCCAACTTCAGTGAACCAAACCCAGAGCTGCTAGCCCAAGCAAACCAGCAAAACAAGTCTGTGAGTACTCTTAGGAAACTGGCCAGCCGGTGCTGACACCTCAAGAACACTTTGGTTGTCCTGTTCTCACGCAGATCTGTACATTTCCCCAAATAAATCAAGCTAAACTATCTTCTGCAAGCTTTCTGCATGCCTCAGTCTAAGTGAAAATATATTTAAGGTGGCCTTCCTCTTTGTCTACCAGGGGAAGCCTGACCAGAATCAGAGGGGGAACTCCCCACCCAATCAGAATTCAGGTACATCTGCCCCACCAGGTCAGTGTATTTTCCTAATGCAAATTTTGATTTAACCACAAGCTGACTGATGACTTGTGTGCATGTGTTACGTAATGGTACACTTTGATGCTAACATTGGGTTTGTTGTTGTAGTCACCTGCATTTACAAAGCTTTGTTTGTACTGATGGAGCCTCAAAAACTCAGATTCCAGACAGGGACTGGCATAAGGCGAAGCAGCTAAAAGAAGTTCATCTGTCATCAATTGAATTATTCACAAATGTGCTTAATAATCTTTTAAGGGATGAAAAGGCTGGCATTTCAAGGGTTATGTAATTTTCTCACTTAGTTTAGTTCTAACTAGGGTTAAAACACAACTTGGTGGTAAAATAAAGAAAATACACCAAACATGAGGTGGCAATGTTACTGATCATGAGCTCGCTTCTAACAAATGACTCATGTTGTGATTTAAAAGGAAGAAAGTGACCTGTTAAAACAAAACACACTTCAGTCGCACCCACAAAAGTGAGACAAAAAACAGAAATGAAAACTGAAATGAGTGAGGACTGACTCGTGTTTCTAACCTGCAGGTAACGGTGCCATGCCGCCATATGCCAACAATAATCAACCACCTGGTGCACCCCGTGACCCCACGTTTGGGAACGTCGGGCGGCCCAATGGACGGTCGCCTGGCAACGGTGCCCCTTCGGTTACTGCTGCTGGAGCCCCACCAGCTACAAAGTCCTCAGTTACAATTAGCAACGGCAGGGACCCACGACGTGCCAAAAGATGAAATTGGGGGTTAGAAGGTGCAGGGGAGGGTGGTATGTGAGAAATCTATGGACGTCCCCATTTACCCCCCTCTTACAGCTTTCCGACCTGTCTGCCCCGTCTTCATCACAGCCTGTGTTGGCTATAAAAAAAACAAACAAAACAAAACAACTGACTACTTGCAGAATTTCTTTCTTTTTTAATCCAGGCTAACATGATCAGATGTGTCGTCTGTCATCCGTAGTGCTCTCATAAGCAGCACAGTGTGATTATGATCTACCACTTTATGCGTTTTCAGGGCTTCTTAGATAGTCGCGACCTGGTGTGGCTGAGGTGTGGGTAGCTTCTCAGTCTGCACCCTTCTTCTTCAAGTTGCCAGTTCTGTGCCAGTGTTACCCCCAAATCCCAAACAAACACCAACCTGAACCCTTGCCCTCTTCATGTTCTTTAAAACTATACACCCTACTTGAACACTTGATGCACTTTCTTCTCTTAATTTATGTCGAGGCTTAGCTGTCATTTAATTCAGGAAATCAGTTTCTGCTTTATTTAGTTTTTTTAGAGGGAAAAAAAGGCCTTAAGTTGTGAAAATAAGTAGTTGAACTGACTGCCCACGTGAAACTCTTCAAACCAAACTGTTTTCTGAAGTGACTGTGTGAAAGGAAAGGTGTTAGTTTCGAGTTTTAATTATTGGTAGGTAGACTGATAGTGAACGGTTTCTTTTTTTTCTTTTCAATAAGACATGTTTTGTTGTTTTCTTTCTTTCTCTTTTTTTTTTTTCTTTGTTGGCCATCAACTGTACCTTTAGGGACCACTTAAATACTGGCAAAAACAGTTCACCAAATAAATTTTAGAGCAATTTTCTGTCACATTTGCTTTTCTGTAGTCTGTTTGAGAGCTTGAGTTACTGCTACTGTCGCTGATATATTCTTACACTGCAGTTTAAAGCCTACATGAGAAGTGTTCAGGGGCCTGAAAGCACATCACCCCAAAAGACTCATCGTCCTGTAAACATGCTGCCACCTTTATTAAAGCTCCACACTGCCACCAACTGCAAAACAAACCTACTTTCTGCTCATCATTGCACTCTACAGCACCATCTAGTGCCAAGATTGATAAATTATGTTATATTTGGACGTGCCTTCGCATGATTTGCTTTGCCCAGACAATGGTTACTTTACAGTTTTACTTTTCTTTACTTCAGGTGTTTCGGCGAGATTGCTCAAGCAGAAGTGGAACTGGAGTTTTATTGTTTAACTTCCTTTATCACAGTTGGGTTAGGACACTTATGTCTGTACGAATGAAAGCATTTGCATTAAGAATTTTGTTTTGAAGCAATGTGTTGCTTTCGACAAAACCCTGTCTTCATATCCTCTGTTGCACCAAGCACCTAAATGTTATGGCCTCAGGATGGCGCAATTTCCCAGTCTCACTTTTCTGACGCACTTGTGGTTTTCCTCTTCTTTTTTTTTGTTTGGTTCTTATTCTCTATGTCAAAAGGTGAAAGGGCCTTTCACATTAGTTTACGAACATGTACACTTCAAGCTGCACAAAAACACCAGGACACCACTTTTGTCTTCTGTGTGCACAAGTGGAACAAAAGTGTAGTTTCCTGTAGAGGCCAGCTGTTTGCTCCGTGTGCTGCTGGGACTACAAGAGATCACCAAAGCAGCTGTAGGAGTGTTTTGGGGTTTTTTGGTTTTTTTTTTAGTCTAAACTGTCAAACAGCTGGACTTCACGTCATATTTAAAGTAAGACAAATTTAGGGTATCGACCTCATTGTAGGGTGAACTTAGATCCTGAGCACCTGCATAAAGATAAATTTAAATATGTCCGTCCCCAAATCATTGTCTTTCCACCGAGTGTCTTTATTTTAATTTCAGCAAAGTGGGAAATGCACAAAATCCCCTTTGAATAAGCAGCTCTTAAATACATTAGCACCGCACATCCAACTTGTCTTTACTAAAATTGCAAATTTCATTTGCAAGGTTATTTAAAATCTGTTGAGTTTAAATAACCTTTATTCAAATTTTTAAACTTCTGTTTTTGTGTGACCTTCTTGAAAAGAAAAGAAGTTTCCAAACACACACAGCACTTCTTCATAATGATTCTGTCTTTGCATCCAGTTCTGTAGTAAAGGAAGATATCTGTCAGCACGACTGTTTGGCCTGTAAGAAGTAAATGTGTGAAATTACAGAAATTTATCATTTAATTACTTCAGTATAAATGGCCGCTGGGGAGGATTTTATGTGTGAGGAAAACCTGTGATTGGATAGGAATCTTCACCAGGATGATTTTTGGCCCCTGGGCCTTATGTTTGACACCCCTGCAATACACCATGCAAGTTAGATTGCCTCTGTCAGTGCGCCCCAGGGTGGCTGTGGCTACAATGTAGCGTGCCATCACCAGTGTGTGAATGGGTGGATGACTGGATGTGTGAAGCGCTTTGGGGTCCTTAGGGACTAGAAAAGCGCTTTATAAATACAGGCCATTTAGATTGGCATGCTAAGTACACTTTGATGTTGCATCTCTGTAATGGGTAACGTTCCTTCCCCCCCATTAAAGTCTTCACAACACAATAAGATCCTGCAAAATACAATCCCGTCTCACAGATGATAAAAGTGAGAATCTGTCTGTCGTCTTTGATATCAGGCAGGTTTTTTTCAATGTGGCTCAGTGTTCGTGTTAGTGAGTCTAGATTTCTGCTGCACACTCCCACTGTATCTTAGAGCATCTAAGTTGACCTGGTCCAGAATTGCAAAGTAAATCCAATCAAACAACCCATCAGTTTTAACATCCCTACTCCAAAAGATTATTTTTAACAGCTCCCGATACACTAATCCTGTTCTCAATCAGAGGTCGAGGCTCATTTCAAATATTTAAAGCACTATTTCAGAATTCATTTCTGTGTTGCTCATGTGTTGTAATCACTTGTTCATTGACTGTAACTCTATATTTCTACTTTTATTTACCAAGATGTGTTTTTTTCTTAGTCTTTTTTTTGCAATCATATCACTGCTGAGCACCTTTCAAAGAACTATTTTTTTTTAAAGTTATTTTATTATTTTCTCAAAGAACCATATGTTCAAAACATGTTTACGATAAAAGCCGAGAGCTTGTGACACTGGAAGTTGACACACACATGAGAAGCATGGCAGGAAATGTGATCTTAGAAACTCGTGTTGACAAAGAATGTGATGAGCTGGGAACTTCCTCAGTGTTTGATCAGAAGTCTAGTAGCGTCATGTGATTTGTCATATTTTAGATTTGTACCGACAGAAGCCGACATGAGGATTTCAACCTGTTACATCAATAAACCTTGAACATATCGACTAATTTAAAACATTTTTGAATACGAAATCATTTGTATAGGATTCTAAACTGAGTCGGAAAAGGTGGAGCAATGTTGTGGTGTGATTTGCTTCATTTTGTATTTTACCCCTCGGCCTGAAAGGCTATTGTCAAGTTTACTGGAAATCTTTTGAACACAACAGCTCTAGAAGCAGGCCACGCAGGATTTTTTAAAGCCACACCATTGGTTTATTTACAAAGAAGGATCTCTTATCAGCCTCACATACTGACAGCTTCACTGCATCTACTGACAATCTCTTTTGGGAATCTGGCAACCCTGATACAACTCATGTATAACCTGTAGCTATACCAGCACCACTGTGCACTCAGGTGCACGACATTCAAGGCTTTTCCCCAATCTGCATTCACTGAATTATCACCATGACAGTAACCCTTCTGCTGTCAGATTGCTGTAACTGTTCGTATCTTCAGGCCAGGCCACAGGTTGATGGTTTCGGTAAAAGATGATCTGGCAACTCATAAAGATCCTACTGTCGGCAGGCTGAACGGTACCCCAGCCTTTTTTTTTTTCTTATTTTCC